GCCAGTTACGCGAGGTGAGTTTCCTTCCAGTAGGAACGGGTCTACGGCCACAATGCCGACCTATTTAGATGTTAGTAGTTCCGGACTTTGGTTCGATGCCAGGGGTTTGCCCGATGCAGTTTATATGTTTCCGGACTTCAGTCCGATGTCGGGGTGGTCCCGAGAAGTAGTTATGTATGCTTGATGTCTTTGTGATTCATGCATGTTTATGTTTTGTGTCAGACTTCGGTCCGATGTCGGGCAAGCCCGATGCAACAGTTATATGTTATATGTTTATGCTCTTGTTATGTTCAGTTTATTCCGGACTTCAGTCCGATGCCGGGCGGGGCCCGATGCAGTGGGCAGGGCCCAAATTATGCCGGACTTCGGTCCGATGCCGGGCGGGGCCCAAATTATGCCGGACTTCAGTACGATGTCGGGCGGGGCCCGATGTAGTGGGCAAGGCCCAATATCTGTTATATGTGTTATTGTATGGTATGTGGTAGTTTGGGGAGCTCACTAAGCTTCGTGCTTACAGTTTTCAGTTTTGGTTTCAGGTACTTCCACTAGCAAAGGGAAGGGCTCAGGATGATCGCATGACACACACCACAGTCTTCAGCATGGGAGTTTTACTCTGATATTTTGTTATGAGATTTTTATATGGAACAGTTTTTATGACACATTATGATACATGACTCACGATTTTATTTATGATCTTGGATGGTTTATGATTTAATTAATGATTGAAAAATAAAATTTTTTGGCCGTATTTTGGGATGTTACAATAAAGTTGTAAACTTTATCCATCTAAACATGATATTGATTCATATTTGATGGTTGGAGACTTGGACTTAATGGATTAAGTTGAAAAAGATGTGCTTTTAGTCCCTTTGAGACTTAAAGACTAGATCTTGTTTGTTGGGACCATTCTTATGGATAAAGTTGGAAACTTTATCCATTATGAAGCTATTAGGAACCATAAATATTTGATCTTGGTCCGTCTATACCTTCCATGCAAGAGTTATGATGTCTTAAAGGATTAATAAGTTAGGGTTTTGGCTTTTGGACCTTTTCTAGCCATGCAAAGTCGTAAAGGTGGAAACTTTATGATTTAAGTCGATGTTTTGAGTCTAGATCTGAGCTCTGGACAAAAGGTCTTATGTGATAAAGTACTTAATTGAGAAATAAGATCAAGTCGCGTATGATGGGCGTACGAGGAGTACGCTGGGTGTACGTATCTACCATGGACTTTGTCTTTGTTGACTTTTGTTGACCGTTGACTTTTGACCAGGTTTCATTTTAGTTCAAACTTGAGGATTTTGGACTGTTAATTAAGGTTTTACTTGGTTTTGGTGATTAGCGGATTCACGGGAGGACGCAGTGCAGAAAGGGAAATGTGTCTTGGTTTTTCGGGTTTCTTCATTTCAAGTGAGTTTTGGCTCATTGTACCCGTAGGTCGAAGGCACCAATAGCGGTCCACTAGTTTTGGTTATCTTTTAGTAGTGGGATGTCATAAGGCTATATATAGACATGAAGGATACACTGAGGACTCTTGATCTTGACTTTCTTGCCTATTCCGTGTTAGGTTGTGGCTCTAGAGTAGGATCACCTATCCGGGTGTCTATCTCACCTCTGAGTATATACGGTTATATATTCCTTGGATTGTTGGTATTTAGTATGTTGATATGTAGTAGTGATTTGTATCTTGGTATATAGGATGTTGCTATGTTGTAGTGATCTGTAGATCTGTATGTCTACGTGTACTTGCTGGTCATCATCTAGAGGAGTAGCCTAGGGAGTGTATGTACTCATGTAGGATAGCTTGAGAACTCTTGATCTATGCTTTCTTGCATGTTCCTTGTTTGGTTATCGCTCTAGAGTAGGATCATCTGTTCGGGTGGGTATCTCACCCCTGGTTACTTATGGTTACGCATTTCATAGAGGTTAGCTAGTAGCAGGACAGTATGTTGTGAGAGGAGTAGTAGGGGTAATGAGTTGTATGATTGATGTTTTTCTGTATTATGTGCATACTTGATCTTTGATTGTTTATATGTCGACAAATGGTGGTAGTGGGTTGAGATGGTTTTGCTTTGTGCTGTAGGCCAAGATACCCAGTGTGAGCCGGCTATAATCCGTAGGCACGAAGGCTCAGGAAGAGCAGTTAGGCTGGGGGTAAGCCAACAAACCCTAGGTATTCTAGCCTGATGGCTGCTTGGACCCTTTGCATGTTGGTATTCCAGTCTGAGGACTGATTCAGCCTGGGCATTCCAATCCAATGATTATGGGCCGTTATGCATGCTTGTATGTTTATCCTATTGGGTATTTTGGGGGTTTCTACTAAGAGTTGTGCTTACCCAATTTTTTATTGTTTCAGGTATTGGTCGTCATGGGAAGGCAAAGGCATGATTGTACACATTCATCAGCAACAATGAAGATTTTGCGCTTTAATATTACTCTGATTTTCAATAAATTTATTTGAAATAAACGGGTTTCTTCATAATGGATTTATAATTGGGAAGCTTTACTTTAATAAAATGAAAATTTTTGGTTGCGAAAATGGGATGTTACACCATTACTCTTTTTACTTTGTTCTCTTTGTAAACATTTAAAATGTATAAAACTTTTCGATTAAACTCTTTACTTTTTTCTTTAAAACTCTTAAAGTATATAAAATACTTCATTAATATCTCTACTCTTTTCTTCCTTATAACACTTAAATAGACTCAGTTTTTTGAAGCTAGAATTTTTGAGGAATTAAAACTGTTATTCCAAATAAATAAAATAATGATTAAAATAATTGCATAAATTTAAATAATTGAAAATATAACAAATGATAAAAAATAACCATATTAGATTGTGTTATTAATGAATAATTAAAATATAATAGAATTTTAGTGTCTAGCGAATATTTTGTAGAGAATTGCCAAATGTGACAAGTTGGTGAAAATTGGTGTTTAACTTTAGATTTTCTCGATTAAGTGACCAGGACTAAATTTGTATAGTTTATTATGGAGAAGGACCATAAGTGATTTATTATAAATTTTTAGAGAGTTTGTGAGTTATTTTGAAAAGATATAAGGAGGAGGAACGAAAAGTGCCGGTTTCCCAAAATCGTGTTGACATGCCACATTCATTAGGGCGACACGTCGCGCCTTCAACACAGATCAACATTTTAGAGTTGTAACCAACCTCTTATTCTCATCTATCTATCCTCTTTTTCCCCTAACAATTTCAATCTTTTTTCCCCACTAAAAACGATTTTTCTCTTTCAATCTCATGAAAACTTGAAGCTTGAAGTTGCTAAATGAAGACTTGCTCATATCCTCCCATCTACTTTCATGGAAGGCAACTTTCTCCCACTTTTCCTACAAATTTGTGTTACAGTTTATGTGAAATTGAAAATCTGAATGCATATCCCATTACGATGTTCATATGAGTTTTAGGTTGTAAGAGCATCCACAATGGCGAGTTCAATGAGAGAGTTGAAAGAAATAGCAAGTCTAAGTGTCATTCAATGGATAAAACTCTATCAATATGAGATGCCACATTGGCATTTAATGAATTTGGAGTTTAATGGTCATTGAACTCTTCAATGGAAAAAATGAAAGTTTTTAATTCTTAAATATATATATTATATATTACCATTAGTAATATTCTTTTGAACTTTGTAGAATTTAATACATTGTAGGAAAAAAATTAGAGTAGAATGGATTGTAGAAAGATGATGTGTCAATCCATTGAACTCTATGAAGTTCAATGCATTATGGATGCCCTAATTTTAACCCTAAATCCATCTCCAAACTCCAATTTGTAGGAGGAAATAGGGTTTATGTTGGAGATCTGGATACCCCTTGGATCGTGTGAACACTTTCCGAACTGATATTTCTACCCTATGTCTGGGTTGCAAGAAATTCAATCTAGGATAATCCAAGAAGACACTTACGAATCTAGGCATAGAAATCGTAAGCAAAATGCTAGAAGGATTCTATGTTCTTCTGAAGAAGAAGAGAGCTAATGATATTCGTTTGTAGTTCCCTTCTCAAAGAGAAGATTCGTTTATTTATAATAAACGAGATTAGGGTTTCTCTTAGGGTTGGCCGTCATGGGTTGCTTTGCCCCTTGGACCCCAGCCAGGGGCTCTGCCCCTTGGACCCCACTAGGGGCGCTACCCCTAGACCCTGCCAAAGGGGCATTGCCCCTTTGGAAACCCCAGACCCATGGGCGCTACCCCTAGACCCTGCCAAAGGGGCATTGCCCCTTTGGAAACCCCAGACCCAGGGGCGCTGCCCCCGGACCCCCGACTTGTCGTCGAACCGGTTTCTATTTTGATCTTATACATGCGTGCACTCCGCATAACCCCCGTACATATATTAGAGTACAAATTATGAAGCCCCTTAGCTCACATGTTAATTCCAATTACATAAAATGATATGATGACACTAAAATCACCAACACAAATAGTTATGAGATTTGTGAGTTTAGGTAATGTTTAGTATGTTTTCAAAACCTAGATCTTTAAATCCGAATTTCCATGTTCCTTGTATTGTGAGATTTGTGAGATATAATACCACACCAAGTAACATATGGAGTTTATGTGGCATTTATATGGACATGAAATATGCCACATCGCCTAATATTTTGTTAGTTATTACCTGGTAAGCACTTAACAAATATAGGAAAGCATGAAATAACTAAAATGCCCCTCGTGTGTGGGATACATGAGGGTGGTTAACGGATCCAACGAAATAGTAACAAAGACAGGGACGAAATGTGTTACACCAGCAATAGAGACCAATTTTGACAAAAATGAAAAACTAGGACTAAAACTTTAGAATTGTGCCAATCTGTAGGGACCATTTCTATAATTTAGTCTTGATTGAATAAAATATTACCACGTCCTTGGACTCTCCTGCTTTATAGCTTCTCTCTTCATTCCATCTATACTTAGAAACTTAACGATTCATACACCTCCAATTCGATTTGATAATCAGTTTTTTTTTTTTTTTTCCGGCAGAGCAGCCATGGGATCACCTACGACCACCGAAGAGGCTGATACAAAGAGCCTCATTAAATCCTCTTCCTCCGTCTCCAACTCCTTCCGCCTCCGTTCTCCCTCCCTCAACTCCGTACGCCTCCGCCGTATCTTCGATTTATTTGATACAGATCACGACTCCTTCATCTCCGTTGACGAACTCAACCGCGCTTTGGTAGTCGTCGGCCTTGAAACCAACGTCTCGGAACTCGATTCTGTCATTAAATCCTACATTCAGCCCGGCAACGAAGGTCTCACCTTCGACGACTTCCAGGCGTTGCACAAGTCCCTTGGCGACCTCTTCTTTGAGGACGGTGGTGGTGGAGAGGAGGAGGATGCCGGAAACGAGGATCGTAGCAAGCAGGAAGAGACAGATCTGACGGAGGCATTCAAAGTGTTTGATGAGGACGGAGATGGATTCATATCGGCCAAGGAGTTGCAGGTGGTTCTGGAAAAACTAGGGTTTGCGGAGGCGAGTGAGATGGGGAGGGTGGAGATGATGATATCGTCGGTTGATCGGAATGCTGATGGAGTGGTCGACTTCTCGGAATTTAAGGACATGATGAAGAATATGTCCCTTAAATAGGTAACTCTTCTTCATTCATTTTTCAGTTTTACTGTTATTAGTTTTTTTTCCCAATTAATTGTTTTTTTGTAAATTTTTCTTCACCCGATTGTTTATTATTTGTAATTTTATTTTAATTATGACGTCAATCTTGTAACCTTGTTTGTTGAAGAAATAAAATGTTATTGCAATTACTTGGAGATGGAATATGTTTGTGCATTGGTATTGAAGCCTTATCTGTTGTATTGTATTTGGCTAAAACTAGAGTCATTGTGAGGGTAAGAGTGGTAACCTTTTGTCTCACGTACATATTTGGATATGGGCTTATTCTGGATATCTTGTCTATGCAACAAAAGATGGTAATATCCTCATTGTTAGACTAGAGTTTTCCAAGATGGTAAATATCCTCGTTGTTAGACTAGAGTATGGAAAACATAAACGAAATCAATGAAGCAATAAGACAAGGACAATATCTTTTAAGGACAATAGACCCCACTATTTTTGTTGTTCGTTGAAAGGCTAAGACCCTTCCAAAACCTCCTCAAACCTAGAGAATGTAAGCAACCATCCCACAATCTCTTCTCGTGAACATAAAGTGATGCATGTTTGGAAGATCCGAAAGACAGATTAACCAGAAAATCAAGCCAAATAACATATTTATAGTACCCAAATTCCAAGTGTTGCAACTCTTGACGAAAAGTTGCAATTGGGTATATAACAAAAACCAAAAATAAAACTCCTAAACCTAGCCACCTTTTAAAATTCCGACCAATTTTTTTTTAAACAATGGAATGGAGTTTAAGCTAATAAACTCAATAAAATTTACTTCACCAGTCTGTGGGACTAGTTGCGAAAGCAAGACAACAATTTTTAAAAAAAATAATATGATAAAAATTGTACTTGCACCAACAATGATTGTGAAAATAACACTAAAATATCTAGAATCAACAAGGGAAAAAATTGTCACTAAATTCCTAATAGACAAATCTTGTTTGTCGAAATTTTTTGTCTTGTTTGCAACATAGCGATAGACTTGTCAAAAATTAGTGACGATTAGGCTGGTGGGAGTGGCTTCGGCATTGGGATTGGCAACTTCAACGAACACCGGACCGAGGCCTCGACATGCCAAGCTCGGCTCGGCAACTCGGTGGTGTTTAACCAATGAGAGACAAGCATTAATACCTATTTTTCCTTTTTTTTTTAACCATTTACTCAATTTCATTTTTTCAAAAAATACCATCTTTTCAAAAAAAAAAATACCCAATTTCAAAAATATATTGGTTTTTTTCTTCAAAATTTCAAATTTTAAACCCTCAATCTTCAACTATAAATATCATTATCCTTATTTATTCTTCATCCCATTCAAATCTTCTTAATTCAATTCTCCTAAATTTCTTATTTTCCATATTCTTCAAAACTTCATCGCTAATGTCTCATGTGGTTCGTGTTTGGTCCTTTGAAAAAGAGATGCTACTGACTCGTTCATGAGTTGATGTAACAGAAAACTCAATCCAAATTAACCTCCCTACGACAACTTTTTGGATGAGAGTCACCGAAAAATACAACCGCCAAACCCTTGTACCTCGACGTAAAGAAGAAATCTACTCCATATGGAGGCAAGCAAACGCACTTGCAACTCAGTTTAACAATGTGGTTTGTAGGGTGATGCATGAAGCTGAAAATTGTGAAAATGAAAATACTTTGCTAGAGAATGCTCTTGAGGTTTACCATGTTGAAGCTAACAAACATTTCCCTCTTGTTGACTTTTGACAAATTGTAAGGCAGTCCCCAAAATTTGCTCAAATTTAAACTCGTTGTCTTTTAATTTAATTTTTATTTCAAGTGTGTTATGTTTTCTAAGTGTAAGTGTGTATTGGTTTAATTTCAAGTGTGTTATGTTTTATAAGTGTAAGTGTGTGATTTTCTTTCAAGTTAATGAAATATAATTTTTTTTATTAAAATAATATATTTATATTAATTTCTTTATGTAAAATAAATATTAAAAAAAATTAACATGGCAAGCGCGACAACATGCGCCATGTAATAGACAAGTTTTTGTTGTAGTGTGACAAATCTGATGTGATGCCTACGTGGACCGTGATAAGTGTGACATCACTCCCTGCAGCCTTATAGTAACCTGTATTTGTTGTTGGTGAGTCATATACATGGCAAAAATCATTATTTACGATGAAAACTGTACAAATATTACAAATATCAACCAATAATTCTTCGACAAAAGTACATTCCTAACCCACAACTAATAATCATTTTTCTTTCTTTCTTTCTTTTTTTTTCATTTTTGGTATAGTTTTGCGTCGAAACATGTATGTAGGTATTGTATGTGTGTGTGTGTGTATATATATATATATATATATATATATATATATATATATGTATGTAGGTATTGTATGTGTGTGTGTGTGTATATATATATATATATGTATGTATGTATGTATGTATGTATGTATGTATGTGTATATATATATATATATATATATATATATATATATATACATATATGTATGTATGTATGTATGTATGTATGTATGTATGTATGTATGTATATACATGTGTGTATATATGTATGCATGTATGTATGTATGAATGTATATATATATATATATATTTAAATATATATATATATATATATATATATATATATATATATATATATATATATATATATATATATATATATGTGTGTGTGTGTGTGTGTGTGTGTGTGTATATATATATATATAAATGTCATCTTGATGGTTGTTATGAGTTCATGCATGAATTTGAGTCCTTAATATGAGCTTTGATGGACAAAAATGGATGTTGGGTTCCATGAAGACATGCTAAGGGTTACAGTTGCCACGTTTATGTATTAGAACCCTAAAATGGACTAGATTTGGAAGTTGGACCTTATGACTAAATGGATTAAGCACTAAATGGCATGCATACGCCTCGCTGTGGCTCTTCGTGGGATTTTGGGCCTTGGACTGTTGAAACATTAGTGGGCCTGCGAATTTATTAGTGGACCTTAAGTTGCATAATTTGGGCCTTTATAGGCCTTGGGGGTCATTATTTTGTTATTGGGCCAAGTTTGGGTAGGCCCATTGTTGGGTTTAGGTTTTAGACCCACGATTATGGTTTATAACCTAATTTTGATTAGGGTTATTTGTTTGTGTTAGTGTGGGATCTTCCAGTTCTGCAGCCGAGCATCTAGTTATTTATCAGCGGTCTGAGGTGAGTTTTCTCACTGTATCAATGGGTCGAAGGCACCAAGGCCGACCCATTATTTATGATATAGTATGCTAGCTTTATTTGTGATATGTTTATGAAAGATTAGGATTTGACCCGTGGCAAATGTAGGAAAGACCAGGATGTGGCCCCTGGCAGCTGTGTGAAAGACTAGGATCTAGCCCCTGACAATTGTGTGAAATACTAGGATCTGGCCCCTGACACCTGTATGGAAAACCATGTTGGATTAGGTGTCTAAGCCCATAAATATAATTGGTATAAACTTGAATTGATGGTAACACAATCTTTTTGGGTTGCCCTCAAACCTAGCAATAGGACATGATTATTTTGGAGAGAGAGAATGATTTATTATTTGAATAATAAATGGAAATGAATAATTTGTTAATATATTATGAGAATAATATATTAATTAGAAATTATGATATTTAATTAGTATTTAATCATACATTAATTGGAAATTAATTTGGTGATTAAAAGAATTAATTAAAAGTGCAGCGACTGAAGTGCAATTTTCAATAGTTGAGCAAGAGGCATTCTATAACCCTCCATAAGGCCTTGGATGATTTCAAGGAGCCTTTCAGTTTCTAGAATTATCCCTGGTGGATAATTAGGAAGCTGGATAATTACCCGGTTCATGATAATGTTATTATATTGGGTTTGGGCTTATCTAGGGTTTCCTGACTGCACTATAAATAGGCCCCTAGGGCTATGAAATTTGGCATTTATGTTCTTAGAAGAGTTTTGACCAAATTTTTCCTCCTCCCTCTCCATAATCCTAAGTTGCTAGTCTTAGGTGTGAACCATCAGAGGCATGACGCTTGTGGTGCTAGCTGCCAAAAGATTTGAAGAAGGATTCAAGGTTGTTTACAATAACAATCTTCAAAGTAAGTTTCTTAACCTATTGAATTAGTTTTCCATTAGAAAATTTTTATTAGATGATAGTTCAATGTATGTTTCCTATACGTGAAAGACATAGATCCTCAATAGGTTGCATGTACCCTAATCATTTGAATTGTTTGCATGTTTTCCGCTTGGTGCATAAAATTTTTGTATTCTATGTTTTCCATCAGTGGTATCAGAGCCTTATGGCTATCTTTCATGTATTTGCACAATAGTGAATTGATTAATCAAAAGAAACTGATTATTTTTTGAAAATTCACTGCTCACGACGTGAGCTCGGTCAGATCCGGAAATTTTGATGCTTATCTGCATAATCTGATTTCATATAATAATTATATGCTATATTGACTTGAAAAATCCATTTTTTCTGAATATATCTTGATAATATGGATGCCCAGATATTAGTAGATAAGTATTTGACTTGATTAATTATTTGGTGATTAATATGATTGATTTTTTAAGTGTTTAAATAATTAATTTGGATATTAATTGGAATTAATAACTAATGTCAAATATTATTGGGTTTATCTTTTAAATTTAAATTAAAGGTTTAATTTTCGAAATTTAAAATATAAACTAGTGTTTTTTGAAAAGTTTAAAAAATACACCATATACTATATGTAAAATTAAATGTTTAATTATTACTATACATATAAGACTAAGTCAGTCGAACCGCTAGTATGCCTTATTCACGAAGCCGATCTATAAGGGGTGTATAAGGAAATTGCATATAAAATGGCGGTCGAATTGGTGTCTACTCTCATCCACTGCTTCCTTGATTGGTGGAGGGTCGTTAGCCGAACGGGTTTGATAGGACAATTAATTATCATTAATAAGTATAATGAATTAAAAAGTAAATAAATCTTTTTATTAAA